TCGACCCGACTTCCCCGCGACCCCCGGCTACCCCGGGTCCCCACGTCTCCCAGCCTACCCAGGTCACCCCGCATTCCCCGGGTTCCCTGAGTCGACTGCTCAACCCCCTGTGTTCCCGACCTTCCCAGCTACCCCGGCTTTCGCCGGGTTCCCTGAGTTGCCTGTCCTCCCCGAACACCCCGAACATCCCCTTGTGTGCTCCGTCGGTGATCTTTGCCCCATTGACGTCAAGCCTCCGAAACAACCCTCGATATCTTATTATTGTGAGCCATAACATAATCACATAAGTGCCATTTTCGAAGCAAATGCACTCAAAACGTGAGAACTAGGTAATGGTGCACAGTATTATCTTAAGGTTTGTATACACATTTACATATAGGTGGCATCCGACATCAAACCGACAAATTTGGAGCCGATGATAGGATAATCGACAAATTTTTGAATTTTGATTGGTCAGTTATTTCATAGGCAATCTGATTGGGCGATGTAGCTGTCGGTTGAGCAACATATTACTCACATATAACATATACAGCTTTCTATTGGTTGAAAACACATTCGGAGTAACAATAACCAAGACTTTGGCACAAGCCAAGTACCAGTGGTACTGTAGTACAGTTGCGGCCACGCTAAGCAAAGCCTCCCCCAAGGACAAGCAGAGGACAAAAGGCAAGGCAAGTGCCAAAGGTCGAAGATACAAGCGTAAAGTTCCATCTGTTGCCGCCCCGGTCATCCATGTTGACGAGAACGAAGAAGTCGAAGGACAAGATGCCAACTCGTTCTTTGATCATACGTCCGTCCTGGTGGAGCCGCCAACGAAACCCAAGCAGAACAACACTCACCCAACGGACACTGCCGAGTCCACGGCAGTGTCATGGAGCCACAGCAGGTGCCGCTCCGTCGCTGGAAGCTACGGCACGGACGGGCGAGCCTTCGGCCGCCATGAAAGACTTTGGCGGGAGCATTGATGTTGATCTGGTGACGCGGCACATGGCCTTGTTGACGGCACCGACGGCGCCGTCTCTGCCGCTCCATGTCGAGGACATTCCAATGTTGGACAACATCATGGACGACGAGCAGCATGCCGCCGTGGAAACAGAGAAGTACGAGAGAACGTGGCCAGCGGGCAAGATGTTTGGCGACGATGACAAGGACGTCGACCCCGACCAAACGACTTAGATCAGAGTAGACATCACTGCTGCTCAACAGCCTAGTAGTAGAACGGCGATTAGTTGCTGCTCAACAGCCTAACGTTAGAAGTAGAACGGTGATTAGTTGCTACTCAACAGCATAGTAGTAGAACGGCGATTAGTAAGCGCCTCGGATAGGACTATGTACCGGTACGTATGTTGCTACTAACGTTATTAAGTACTTCTAGTACAGTAGTAGTAGTAGACATTATTCATATCGTTATTCTACTAAAATCCTGGGGACCTTGCATTCACAATAGCAACCCAGGCAGCCAACGGCAAAGCTTCTGTATCCTTTTCTGTAAGAGCCAATCAAATCCACGTCGTGTCCTCACGGTTCATGTCCTCACCTCGTCAGAGACTTCTCTAAAAAC